CATGCAGATTGGCAGCAAGTCTTCTTGAATTGGCTGAGTTATCAAAATTTCCCTCCAGCCTATAATCAATATTTATAGATGGCTGGTTTTAATTGTATAATAAATTATCTCTGATTAGCTTCATTTGTATTTCTTTGTTTCACTGAAACTTTTGGAACTGGATTGAACCAGAACTCTTGTGAACTTGGAAGGTGTCAGTTAGTTAGGATTTATATCCTTGGGAAAGTAAAAGGGAAGGTTTCTTATCTCCTGTCCTTCCCCATTATGTGGACGCTGTTTAACACTGGTCTTTCTTCTTTACCTTAGTTTATGGTCATCTTTGACAAAGCTGTTTTGGTTTGTTTTTTTACAATTATTTAAGCATCTTAACAAAAAATATATGTTACAGAAAAATAGTATTTAATACATTTGTTTACAAGAATCCCTTTATCAGTTCTTTGTGTTACATTAATGTGCCTTATCCTCAATCACTGCTGACATTGTATGCCTAGCTTACCTCACTGCTACACGGGTCAAGCTGAGGTCAGGTTATAACAAGACACAGCTTGTTACCATAGCCCATGCTGCATAGGCCTCCATACGGCAGGGATTCCAATCTGGTGTTCAGGGCGTGTGCAGTGGGGCCCCACCTGGCTGTGTGAAGGGGGTCTGCGGGGCACTGCCTGGCCCTGATCCAGCTACATGGGGAAAGGGGGACTGGGCTGGCCCCAATCCAGACCAGCAGGGGGGAGTGGGGCATGGCCTGGCCTTGATCCAGCCACTAGGGGGAGGGGCATGGCCAAACCCTGAAGGAGGAAGGAGGCGTGGCCCAGCCCCAGCCTGGCTAGGTAGAGGGAAGGGCTGTGCCCCACCCCTGTGGGGGGTAGAAGGGGACATGGCCTGGCCCCAAATCAGCCATGCAGGGTTGTGGGAGCATGGCATGGCCTGGCTCTGCAGGGAGAAAGTGGGGCAGCCTGGCCCCAATGCAGCCATGCAGGGAAAAGGGGCTCAGTTCAGTCCTGATCTAGCTACTCAGGGGCTTGTGGCCAAGCTCTGACCTACCGTGTTGGGCTTAGGATTTTGGCAGCAGGGAGGAGCAGTATTAACTGCCACTGCTCCCCTGCTGCCAAATGTCCCTACTTGTAGAGCTCTGTGAGCCCAATTCCAAGGCTCTGTGGACCTCATTTGGCCCAGGGGCCAGAAGTTGAGCACCCCGATCTAGGTGAAGCTTTCTTCATTTTAATCCCTTGTAAGAGGAACTATCTTAGAGGAACTATTGTAGAGATTTAATTACACAAGCCACATTTTTCTTATTTTGAAGTAGTTGCACTATTTGGTCACCTATAGTCTTCAGAAAGGTGTTGAAATAATTCAAATGAAGTTGTATGCTTTCCAACCCAATTAATTAATCAAGGGCAGTGCAATGTTTATGGTGTATATACCCAAGCAAGAGGCAAATTCACCAGGCTAAGTGAAAGGAAGCATTACAAAGCCCCATGCAGTTGAAACTAAATATGACACTTTCCTTTCCAGCCCACTCTCCCCTCCCCCCTGCCCAAGCATGTGGGAAGCTTCAACTAATTGCTCATACTTTTGTTATTTGCTTTTGAATTTTTATGAAGTAGAGGGCCTGAAATGGAAATTTGGTTAATCTGGCAGCATGACCTGATTTGAATAGTGGCTGTTGGAAATTTGCTCAGTAGAGCCCACTTCTAATATACTTACGGCCCCAATTCAGTTAAATTATCAGTTTGAGAAGGATGGCTCCTTTTTTTTCCCCCTCCCATTTGCATTGACATGATTATATTCCAGATCCAAAGCTACATGTCAATTTTTAATTAGATGCTAGGCTTCTCTTCATGAGAGATTTTCTGTTTAACCATTTTAAAATAAAGTGCCAGCACCTTCTGGGGTCCCCTACAATCACGACTGGCCAGGCTTATAGGAATGATGTGCTCTGAGAGAGATGTCTGTCAGCCATTCTCCAGAGAAGTACCTGGGCCTAGGTATTTGGGTTTTTTTAACACATTATAGTGTTACGCTTAATGGTGACAATTGTAAGGATACAGCAGAAACAGATACTAATACTAGCTATGTTACATCTGCTGTAGAAATTGAGTACCAGGAACACCTCTAGTTTTCCCTGCAACAGGCTTTGAGGCCAGTTGGGTCACACTTGTTCACTCTACTTCTGCCATTCCTATCCCTCCTGAGGTGCAGAGAATAATTGAACATGTAAAACATATACAACTATGCTTTTTATAAACTTCCAAATTTTCAGTAGTACTAACCCTAGACTTAGTGGAGAAGTAGTAGCCTAATGGAGAATCATTTTCCACCAGCTCTGAATGTAGCTTTCTATCTGGAACCCTCTGCTACCACAACTAGAGAGGGCATATGGTTCTACGGTTAGTGAAAAGGTATTGGGCACATGGGCAGACAAGGTTCTTTGGGTGAATCTGATCTTTTATTAGACCAACTTAAATAGCTGGAAAAAAATTTCTTAGCAAGCATTCAGGTTTAAAAACCTTTTGTCAGGCTGAAAAGCATCTGCAGTTGGTGTGTGCTCTTCTGCATTTTTTCTCAAGTTTTGAGATGCTAGATGAAAAACTTGAATATTTGACCAGATTGAACCACTGCCTTAGAAAAGAATAAAGGTGGTCTGGTGGGTCAGGAAATGGTCCAACAATGTATGTGGTATTCTGACAAAACTCTCTGAAGAGGGGTAGGGTCTGGCTGATAGAAATGGACTGTCCTCTTGAAAACACGGACTTATCAGGGTTGAGTGAGCTCTGGCTCTTGCTGGGTAACAAATCTGTTCAGTGTCACAGGACCTGAAAGGTTGAGTGGAATTTTAATAACTTTTCTCTCAACCAGAGGAATGGATGTCCTGCTTTGAGCACCTGGTAGGAAAATGAAATTTAACGTAAGCATGTTGGATCCATCGTGAAGCTTCAGAGGAGATGGTTTCAATTTGTGCTGGGGTTGAATTACTACAATAAGAGGGCAGTAGACCCTGTGTAAGCCAGTTTCAGGTGCGAGTATCAAGAACAGTGTTAACACCTAAAATAGTGGAGGTGTCAAGGAGCAGCTGGGTTTTTTGTCATTCCCTCCTCTTGTAGATTCAGTTAATAAGTTCTCAGGGATGATGATGCTGATTTTCAGCTTATTTGCCACTGAGGAGCAATGTAATTGTATGCATACATGCATGTGTGTGTAATGTTAGTGATTTTTTTTTAATGTTTTATTTTAAGGTTTCCATTTATTGTCTGTTATCTGTTTTACTGAAAATAATTTTGGACATTTTAAAATTTATTATTAGTTACTGAGGCAAATTTTAATGTCAAGTACCCCACTAGGTGCTGCCGGTTTATGAGTGTGTGTGCACACACACACGCATATTTAAAATATAAACCAGAGAGGTTGTGAACTTAATACTGCATAATCCTTACAGCAAATGGAGACTGGTATCTTAAAAAAATCTCTGTGAGCACATTCACTAGTGGCTGTAAATAGGGGAACCTTCCTTGGGAGTAAGTCCACTGAGTCTTTGTCTTCAGATACAAAGCAAATTGTTCTGGGGTAAACACCTTTTAGAAACTGGAGAAATGGGATACTGGAATAAAGGGTTTGAAGCGATGGTCCCACTTCCATGAGACAGCATGGAAAAGTCAATGGGAAGAGCATCAGGTATCTGAACCGTGAGAGGTAAAGGACAGTCTGAAGAGGAAGACCCCCCCCACCAGCTATGGAGGGAAAGGTGGAAGGTAAAATACCCCCACCCCATTGCTTTGCAGTGTGAATGCTAACATTCACTTTGTTGCCGGTGCCAGACTCACACTTCCAGCAGTAAACCTAGAGCACAAGGAGGGCTGAGTTCTCCAGGAGGATCCCCCAAGCATTTCCTCCCTGCTTGTTCTATTTGGAACACTGTTTCTCCCAACTCATGAAATGAGCTTTGTAACCCAGGTGTACTGCTGCAATACCAACACCATCTGTGAGTGCTTTGTGTGGCTCTAGTGTCTCCCTCACCCATCCTTGTTAGAGCAATTTAAAATAGCATATGCTATGTTATGAGTGAGATACTCTGCGAGAAGCCAAGAACACAGAGACCAAAAGGAATAGTTAAAAATACTGTGTAATTTTTATCCTTTGCAGCTCTTATAGAAAGAACCTGGGTCAGCCAGAGTGGTCAGCATTACTGGGCTTCATGGAAGAGGGTGCATGTGTCTGGGAAAGGAAATAGAGGCATGGCACTCAGGTATGTAACTTGGTTAAAAGAGAAAGGAAGTGGAGTGATGGAAGCTGGGAGGAGCCAAGAAGTGCAGGAGTCTTCAAAAGGAAGAGCTTTTAAGTTACATGGAAGGGCAGATGAAGCCAGGGAGAGATCAGGCCTGGTCAGAACAGAGAGAAAAGGTTTATGAAGCTGTCGCGCTCTAATTTTGCTTTTAATCTCTGTGCTTCATTAACAGAAAAGTATGTCAAAAAATATTTTTTATCAGTACATCTAGAACGGATTTCAAGTGAATTCATTAGCGCATAGGGTACTTCATAAAAGTACATTATTAATAATTTCTTCTTTGTCCTGTTCTCAGCAGAAGGGGCCACATGCTGAGATGACCTGGGGTCCAAAAAGATTGCCTCCTCCAGAAGTAATTTCTTCAGGGGAGTCAAGGCACTGTGGTGAGGTGGCTGCATTGCTGCAGCCTGTGTTGCACCTGTTCGGAGAATATGCAGACTAAAGTTAACAATATAGCCAAAACATAAGCATTGCTTTTGCTTATAAGTGTAGTAACTGCCTCAGTTATGACTGTCAAAGAATCTTGGTTGCCCCCTACTGTTCAGTAAGAAGCAGAGCTTCCCAGGAGCAAGCACTCAGTCTAGATCGCCTTGAATTTAATTATCCTCTCTTGCAGGAGATTTTCCAAGTGGTTCAGAATAATTCATCATTGTAGGAAAATGCAACATTTTCACTTCTGTTTTGCTCCTGAATTTCATCCTCCTCCTCCTCCTCCTCCTCAGTGGGAGTAGCTGAGTGGTCCTGCTCTGACTCTGTCCTGGTATTGAAGAGTTGCTGTTCCAAGAAAGACCCCCCAAGGCCATACTGCTCATCATGTGCCTTCAGTTCTTCAGATGACACGTGGGGAGATCCCAGAACAAAGTTTGCAAACCTGCCAGATTTAAAGAGAAGTTGTCAGGCAGGAAGGAAACAAAGTACCTGTGAGTGCAGAGAACAAAATCTAAACCTCATCCCTGCCTGCAGGAACCTGTACGTATTGATGATACTTACAGCAGGAGTCCAACATGAGGGATGTTGCACTTAAGTCTGAGGTAGGAAATCTCACATGACAAAGGACAAACAGCAAAAGGCAACAGTTAGCACAAAGCATTTGTCACTTGACTTAGCTGTTTTCCTTCCTTGCCTCCAATAATTTGTTTTCCAAGTGGGAGTGGGGCTTTGTGACTGACTGAGTGAAGAACATCTGACTTGTTTCCCACACTGTCACTGTAGCTTTTGAGAGCTTACTTCACATGCCCTCCTCTCGGTTCAGTTTCCCTGTCTACTTCCCAAGTCTCTTTCTAAGGCTTAACTAAGATATGTAGAGGGCTTCATAGAGACACAGATGAGATGTGAATTGGTATATTTTTCAACTCATTTACTTTGGGCAGCTGGCAGTATTTGGATACAGCCTCATTCTTTTCCCTTTATGGTGGGGTGTCTCAGCAACACTGGGCGAATCAGATTTTTTGAAAAGCCAGAAAACAGATGTATAAAGCTGGTTTGGGGAAGTGTCAAAGGTAGGCATTTCTCAAACTAGTTTTAATTTGGTGTTAACAGATTATTCTAAGTAGATGGTGCCTCTTAAAGTTAGGAAGGGCAGTCCAGGTGGCTGGGTAATGCACAGAACCTGCTTCTAATATTAAAAATATTCTTATTTTGGTTTTGCAGGCTGCAGTTCTAATGAATCTTATCACCCTCAATCTTTGGCTGCCAGCCCCATTCTCTTTACAGTCCACCTTTACTTGTCATAGGTGTCTCTGCTGAGCTGTTCCAGGTACAGCTACTTCATTTATTTTGCTCCCCAAGAGCAGAGGATGCTACCTCCACAACACTCCAAAGCTGAAACTGACTGACACGTCAAACCCCGGTTATAGCAAGTAAGGTCCCCAAGACCCACACCCAAGAATTTCATTATAGGCCCTGGTGAGACAGCTACAAGAATCCCTTTGCAAGCTTTTGTGTGCTGCTGCATCAGGCACAGAACTGAAGCAATGCTGGTATTCTGCAAAGCAGTGGGGCTGCCACAATGTAGATATAATGCACGCATCTACATTACATTAATGTTGATGTAATGTCTGGAGGGCACTGAGGCAGCATAAAGTTAGAAGTGCCTGCAAGTTCTAGGAATTAAACAACTATTTGTATACAGGAAGTCAATGTTTCCAAAGGTTTTGAAGATCATGGTTATACATTAAAATGCTGTCAGAAGTATTTGGATCATTCATATGACAGTACCCATAAATTGCATTTAATTATAAGAAAGATGAGATGCTTTCCTACTTATGAGGGGAGTGGAGCTTGGACACTGCTAGCCAGGATGGGAAATCTGGATCCCTGCAGAGCAAGCGTAGCTCCTCCAAGGCTTTCACGGTCTCTGTTTCCCCTTGCTCTCCATATTCTTCTTCAGTAAGATACCGAAACGCTGACTTTTTTGATTTTAAAAGATTCTTGATTTTGCTACAAAAGAATACAGTCAATACTTCCAAGCTTGTCATAAATATTGCTCATATATTACAAATGCATTACTTCCCTCCACCCCCTCCCAAATCTTTAATTCTCTTTCTGGTATCCACCACTAAAACATTATTTTCCCTCATTCTTATGAAGTCAAGATAAATATATAGTTCAAAAGTACAGGATATTGATCCTGATTTTCATTCCCATGGCCCAACACATTTGCCTGCCACCTCTGGGCCTGATCTAAAAATATGGAATTAAGAAGAAGTGAGCTTTGGATGAAGTATGTTGTATGTGCATGGCTGCATGTGTGTGCACACAGGTCAAGTCCACTAACTGGACAGCTGCTGATCTAGCAGTTTGAATACACAAAATAGGTATGCATACTTTTCATAGACATTTGGGCTGGAAGGGACCCCAGAGGATCATTCAGTCCAGCCCCCTGCCCCAGGGGCAGGAAGTCAGCAGGAATCAAAGGATACCAGCAAGATAAGCATCCAAATGTGTCTTGACGGCGTTCAAAGTGGGTGCTTGAACTGCCTCTGGTGGCAGTCTGTTCCAAACCTTGGGAGCTCAGACAGTGAAGTTCTTTCTTATGTCCAGCCTGAACTGATCACAGTGGAGTTTGTGACTGTTCGATCTTGTCATCCCTTGGGGGGCTCTGGTGAACAGACGTTCCCCCAGATCCTGATGAGCGCCCCGATAAACTTATAGGTGGCCACCAGATCACCCCTGAGCCTGCGCTTTTCCAGGTTGAACAGCCCCATTGCTCTCAGCCTCTCATCACAAGG